ACCTGCCTGCTCGGTCGCGGAGGTACCGGTGGCGGGTGTGCTCTCTGCGTCGCTGCCAACTGCATCTTTATCGCTTTACGATCGCTTCCGTTCGACAACGACGACGCCTTCACGCGGACACCTTCGGCGTAACGAGCATCTTATCCGCGGCTGAATCGAATCGAGGTTGTCCGAGATAACGGCGTTCGATTATCTTGGACGTCCCGATCGCACCATCGGAGCAAACGTCGCGAGCAGGTTACGTCAACGATGAATCGTCGCAATCGTGGTTGAGTCACGGTTCGAAATTCGCCGTGTTCATGCGACGCATCGCTGGATCGCTACCGGACGATCGCGTCGCGACGCTACGGTTTGCTTTTCACGGTAGAGCGTGACCCAGCGCTCCACGCGTTTGCCACGAAACGGAGCTTTGTTCGCGCGAAACGGAACTCCGAAGCGAGGCGAGGCGAGCCGAACCGAACACGCGTTACCAACGGTCAGGTGCGCCGATCCGCCGACCGATACCTTCTCTTTGTTTTCCTTTCCACACCGATTCCAACGTTTCTTCTCTTTCCAGCCTACTTTCTCCGCCTCTGTTCGCTTTTCACGCGGATATTTTCACGGGAATCGGCTGCTCTTTTCGCCGAGCGCTACTCCGTTAGAGCACGAACACGATCCTCGAAATCGGCACTCTCCCCTCCGCTGCTCGTCCTTCGTTCGCTCACGATTTTCACGTAGTTTACGAAACGACACCTTCGGACACGCGGTACATCGGTCCAAATAACGAGCACGAAACGTTGTTGACCGAGCGGCACGTCGGCAGGTTAGATCGACGAGAGCACGGTCCAAGTATCCTCGATCCACTATCTCGTCTCTATTCTCTATTCTCTGTCCCCCGAGACCTCGTTCCTCTTTCCTCGTTCCTCCATCGTTTTCCCCTTCCTTCTGACCGACGGTCCACCACGCTAGCGCGCGTCCTCCGCTCCGTTCCTCTCGCTTGTCCGCTGAACGGACTGCCGCTAACTGACTTCGCGATCCCACAACATCCTTCGTGTTCGAGAGACCACGTGACTGGCTCGAGCTCTAACTCGAGTTCTCGGCTTCTCGGGACATCAGGTAGGCAGTACGTACTTACGTACAGCTTTGCGCCCACCTCTCCTCCTTTTCCGCCGCCACCGCCGCTCTACGCGCGCGAGTCGACTAAAGGACTCGCCACACGAGCACGGACCGGCAACGGAACCGGTCACTGTAAAACCATCGTAAACGATCGTCCGGCTTTCGTCGAGTCTTCGACTGTTAACTTTTGCTCGTTCCTCGTTTTCGTTGATCGACGAAAATTTTCCGAAACGCTCGAACGACGACTACGAACGGTTTGAGCGTGCCTTTAACTCGCCGAGTGCGTTGCTAGAGGCAGCAACGTTCGCGGGCACAGGTAGGCTCGTGTGAGCGAACGCGCGCGATAGAGAAGAAGGGAAAATGGGAATTAAGACTCGGAGAGGTGGGGGAGAAACAGAGATAGAGATAAAGGGGAAAGAAGGGGTACTGTAAAAAGCAAGTCGGGAGTAATTGAACGCGCGCGCGAACGTGCGTGTGTTCGTGCGCGATTACACGAGCGGTGCGACGAAGATGGAAGGAGAGAAGCGAACGGCGGCAAGGGTTGAGTAACCTAAACGATATAGGTGGATACAACGAATGGAACAGAGTAAAGAAAAGGAAAATACGGCCGCGCTGTAAATACAGACAACGCGTGGTATTTTTATCGATACCGGAACGCGGAGAACAAAAGCGGATCGTGCGTGACCGATCGACCAACGGAGAACGTCGAAGAGGCAGCACGGAATAAGAAAACGCGACGTGGCGCACAGTTTCTGTTCGAATACGATAGAAAATCGCGGTTCCGCATCTTTTCCTCGAGTGAAATTTTTTTTAACTCGCTCGCTCTCTGCATTTGCTGACGGTATCGCGCGAGAGAGTAGTCCAGGAAAGGAGCGGGGACACGGAAGAAAGAAAAAGGAAAACGAGCACGTCGGTGGAAACGGTAAAGGGGAAAGGGTAAAGGGTGGGGAAGGGGCCCATTAGGTCTCCTTGGCTCGTTCAGCGCGAACTGCCTCGCGACTCGCGGACGCTCGCCGTTCTCCGCTCGAATTCAACGCGCACCGCGCTACATCCAGAACCTCTGCTGACCCGCATTGTTTCTCGTAACGCGATATTCGCTTGTACGAGGTCCACGGTATTCGTTCGCTTAGTTTCGCCGCTGTCAAGGACCGTATAGAGCAGCATCTTGCGCGTTCGTTCGAGATCTATGCGAATTATCGTAGCATCGAAGCTGACGTTCCACCTTTGTTCGTACTTTTAAATGATCATCCTGTAACGCCGATTACGTTACTGCGTTCATTCAAATTTTCTTCACAGTCTGTTTCCCAATGTAGACGAGAGCTACTCGTTCTACTTTCACCCCAATCTGTCCGTGCACCGATCCAATCAATGTTTTCGCACAGTGGTGTATCGAGGAGAACGAATTGTTAGCTCCGGACTCCGGAGAGAAATAATCGTGTGTCGATGATGCATCGAAGAAAATGGTTCGATTCGACGACTGCACGAGCGGGAAAACAAAGATCGTTGTCGCCTACGCGCTAAGATAGCTTTGTCGAGCGGATAAGATAGAAGTCGGTCCACGACGCAGGAGAATTCGTCGAAAATCAACTCCGTACGATATTAAATAACGCGCGATCAACAAGTTTCGTTCACAGTATCGTATTTGTGCGACGAGTAGTCGAGGAAAAGTGTTACGTAAGCACGCGATACATGAACCACGTTGCCGTGTCCGAATGCGTTGTTTGCGATTCGATAAAAAAAGAGGCTACTTCCTGTCAAACAGTTATCGAATCTTACAATTATAGTTTCAGCGACGCTGTTACATCGATTCATCTTTCTCGCTGCAAAGCTCAGTTTCGATAAAGCCGAGTTACAACATCGATCTCGTTATTTTCTAGCAATTCGTTTGATTCTTCAGCAAAATCTACAGCGTCGCGCGAACCGATGAACCTGTAAAATGCAGACAGAAGAAACGCGCTCGTGCAAAACCCCGCGAAGCGAACGATGCGAACGAGCAACGCGTCCTCGTCGCGTTCGATGTAAACTTATTACATTGTGATACGCGGTTCAGGATGTAAGCTTTACCTGATTATTCGTTGCGTGCTGACACCTGCGGGACCATCGGCAAACCAGTAGCTACTCCTTGAACTTCCATTCCTGACGACACATCGGGCAAAGGTGACTGGTTTGTTGAGAGTGCAGCCACTTCATGATGCAGTGTATGTGGAAACAGTGGGAACATTGGCCCCAAACTGGAACAGCATCGAATCGTATTTATCGAGGAAACGTTGAATGACCGGATACGCACGTCGCGCTTTCGCTAACCACCGACACCGACAGTTTGTTGCGTTTACATTGACACGCGCAAATACGCGCGAGTACGCGCGCGTGAGAACACGGTATGTCGTGTACGAGGGATCCGTTTCGTTCGGCACACCGATCGATATTCATGACTGCAGCTGCGCAGACGCTACCGCGGCAATTTATGAACGATTTCCTGCTTTTGCTAAACGTTCCTGTCGGTTATTCGTTCGATCCGAATTCTTTATAATATGTAATAACAACTGATTACTTGATTTTAACGCATCGCAGGATGCTCCGATTGCTCGTCAATTTTTAAATGAAAATCAAAATGAGAGAGTGCTTTCAAGAATCGAATGAAGGATAAAATTTTACGTACCTAATGGACAATCGTCTCCAGGAATTTTACAATCTGGACAACTGGCGTCAAAAGGCATTCTGCATATACCGCAATTATCGTCGTTCGCTATCCAACGCCAGGTGGCAACACCGGTCCAACCTATAAAACGAATTTGCGGTAATCGTTTATTCGTGTGCGTAACGATTCGTGCTTCGAACGTGCGTCATTAACCACAAACAAGAATTTCGAACTTAATTGTACCCGTGAAATCTTGACTCGTTACGCGAGTAACTATGTACTACGTAGAAAAGTTTCAACAGACTATAAGTAAATATACAATATTCTGATCTGGATACTCACTTTTTATTGTAACCTTCATTTTCTGTCCGTAACGATAAAGTAGTTCAACGCGTGCAACGTTGGTTAGCGAATATGTTTTGCACGGTGGATTGGTAGTAAATAAATTTTACCGGTTTTTCTAAACTTTTTCTTTGAAAGCTGCGTTTCTAACATAAACCGATAATTCGAGTGAAAGATCGTAAACGTCCAAACGCGAATCACGGTTCAAGTTCGCATATAGCGCCACCTTGCACCTTTCGAGTTTGTTCTTCGTCGACTAGTAGAATTTGCGCCAAAAATTTTATCGTTTATTTCTTCCGTATGTGTATCTAATTCTCGAACGAATTACGCAAAACTGATTATTTGTATAATTCACTAACCGGTATCGAAAATCCAGTAAAGTCTAACCTTGTACTCGCGGGATATTCGGTTCCTCGAACGTTATAATTACGTAACGAATTACCTCATAAAGTTTGAAACGCCATAAGAAACGGTTGAAGCATACCGTTGTGGTGAATAGCGGACGGTGACAATTATATTTTTGAAAGGTTCGACGATACGACGGTTAATTTACGCATCACCTGGAAATTTCTAGAACGTAAAACGCGCGCGGCAAAACCTGAAACGTAGATCGCGCGCATGGAAACTCGCCTTCCTGCTTTGTCGAGCGGCAGTAGGCTTAATGAAAACGGTCTTAGTGGCGGCGCGCCGCTGACTGATACACGATTGCGTTTCATTTTACAGTGTGGAAATGTGAAATATTCGTGTCGAGAACGATAAAATCGACACCGACTAGCGTGTATCGTTAGTCAACGAAGAAACGGTCGAACGGATCGCGCGAATTCGTCGAAGGTTTCTGTCAAGATAAACGCGAAACAGGATGACACTCGTGGCTTGAGTGAAGATCTCGATCTCGTGTGTGCTGGCTGCCAGACGCGACATGGCGGGTTTTCGAGACGAGGATAAGGCTCTATTTCCTATTCAGAGCATCTCCTCGATCGTGCGGATCTTCCAAAATCAACTGGAAAATAGTTCGGAACCGGACTTGGCTTTGCTCTCGATTCTCGTCGGAGCAGTGGAGAACTCCCTAACCTGCAATCGAACATTTGCGTCGCAGGAAACCACTGTTTACGACGAGCCTAAACTACCGGCTGTGGAGTTTCACATCGCCGAAGCGCTTTACACTAAATTTCACGCCGTGATCAAGGGTGCGGTCGATCTCACTGTTTACGACACCAAATACGCGACCAGAGAACTGGTCAAAAAAGTCTCTGACGTGATATGGAATTCTCTGACGAGAAGCTACTACAAGGATCGCGCGCATTTACAGAGTCTCTATAGCTACCTCACAGCGAATAAATTGGATTGTTTTGGGGTGGCTTTTGCCGTGGTTGCTGGTTGTCAGGTATTAGGATTCAAGGATGTTCACCTTGCTATGTCCGAGGATCATGCCTGGGTGGTTTATGGAGAAGATGGAACAGAGACTGCAGAAGTTACGTGGCATGGTAAGGTATAAATGGTAGGTATCGAAGCTAACAGGAATTTAATTGTACATTGGTATCTTTAGGAAAAGGAAACGAGGACAAACGTGGTCAACCTGTTGAACCTGGAGTAGCTTCACGATCCTGGTTGTACGTCAATGGACAAGCGGTTGTTTGCACCAGAGCCATGGAAGTTGCCACCATAGTATCGGCTATTAATCCTAGTTTAAGCGCGACAGCAGATGCGGCAGAAGTGGCATTGCTTCAGCAAGAATTATTATGGTTATTATATGATTTGGGACACTTGGCAAAGTATCCCATGGCTCTTGGTAATTTAGGTGATCTCGAAGAAGCTGCACCTACACCTGGTAGACCACCTGCCATAGATCTGTTTCAGGTACTATTAGAAACAAAAAAAATTGCTCATGTTTCCTCGTTTTGAGCGTTCCTAATATTCCGACATTTTCAGGAAGCGATACGTTCCGCGAGGAAGTATTACGGAAACGCTCACGTGTATCCTTACACTTATCAAGGCGGTTACTTGTACAGGCACGGATTGCACGCCAATGCGTTATCGTCCTGGGCAGACGCGGCAGACGTTTTAAGAAAGTGAGTATACGAAGTACAAGCGCGAGAGCATAGAATGAAATTATGTTACTTTATCGTTCAATGACCCTTCTTCGTATGTTAACGCGCGACAGATACGACTATTCGCGGGACGATGGAGAGATATACAAAGAACTATTGGAAATAGCCAACGAACTGATACCGCACACGGTGCGAGCAGACGAGCGCTTGTTACGACAGCCTCGTTGCTTCGCGTACTTATTAAGGTTTTACGACGGTATCTGCCAATGGGAGGAAGGAGCAAACACGCCCGTTTTACATATAGGTTGGGCACGACCGTTGGTAAATACGATCTCAAAGTTTGATGCCAGTATTCGCGCTCAGGTAATTATCGAGTGTTACGACGTGGAAACGAAACAGGAAGAGGACAAATCGCAGAAGAGGGAGACCAGCCCGGAAGAGGCGTTGAACAATAACAACAACAACAATTACTGTAAGACGAAAGAAAGGGGTAACGCGGCACGTGATCTGATCAAAAGCTTAGAGTCGAAAGTACCTTCTAACCCCGCACCGATGCATCCCAGCATCCAAGCGTTGACGGCTGCGTGCAGCGAGAAAATACTTAACAGAGATTATCTGTTGCAAGGCGGCGGAGAACCGTTCGTCGCTCCGCCGGACGACGCTTTGCCTCCCGCGCCTTCCACGTCTCAGGAGAACCTCGATCCCGAGGTAGAGACCGATTCCGAGAACGAGAGGCCGAGGATAACGTTGTACAGTCAAAAGATGAAGGGTCTGAAAGACCTGTTGCTGGCGGAGAAACTGAACACGCACGCGATTTCGTTGCAGCTAACCGCGCAGAGTCAGGTACAAATCGGTAAAAAGTCGCGCGGTTCCGACGACGTCGGAGTCAGTCAGCGTCCGAAGAGGACGCGTCGCGAATAGTATCAAATTGTTGACCGACGTTTCGGTATAGTAAGGTACTGAAAATTCGTGCCACTAGATTCGTTCCTATAGGAAAAAAAAAAATGATCGATGGCGCGAAACCGAAAAAGTCTATGGAAGTTTTCCATGTATCGTTGGAATCTCAGTCTTCGCTCACGGTTTCTTTCTGTTCGAGTGAATTTTGCGACCGACGCTTCCCGTCGGTTCCAATCCCGAAGGGAAGCAGACGATGGTGATGAATTTTGTGCCGTTTCGTTTAAACCATGTCTAGCGTCGCGTACTCTGTTCGCAACGATTCGGATGCTCGACTATCGCGCGAATCGTTGCAGAGTACGTTCCCGCGACTTAGATGTAAGTAAGTAAAGTAGACGCGAAAAGAAAAGTTTGTAGAAGAGTACAAAAGAATTTTCTCGATTTTAAGTTAAATATCGAAATCGTGAGTGCTCGCGTTTCGCGTGTTCGCGATGGACATGTACCATTCGCGCGTAAACGTCTTTTTCTCTTCCACAGTCTGTAGTGCTGTGAATTATTAATATTAGGGCAGGAAGAGGACAAATCGCAGAAGAGGGAGACCAGCCCGGAAGAGGCGTTGAACAATAACAACAACAACAATTACTGTAAGACGAAAGAAAGGGGTAACGCGGCACGTGATCTGATCAAAAGCTTAGAGTCGAAAGTACCTTCTAACCCCGCACCGATGCATCCCAGCATCCAAGCGTTGACGGCTGCGTGCAGCGAGAAAATACTTAACAGAGATTATCTGTTGCAAGGCGGCGGAGAACCGTTCGTCGCTCCGCCGGACGACGCTTTGCCTCCCGCGCCTTCCACGTCTCAGGAGAACCTCGATCCCGAGGTAGAGACCGATTCCGAGAACGAGAGGCCGAGGATAACGTTGTACAGTCAAAAGATGAAGGGTCTGAAAGACCTGTTGCTGGCGGAGAAACTGAACACGCACGCGATTTCGTTGCAGCTAACCGCGCAGAGTCAGGTACAAATCGGTAAAAAGTCGCGCGGTTCCGACGACGTCGGAGTCAGTCAGCGTCCGAAGAGGACGCGTCGCGAATAGTATCAAATTGTTGACCGACGTTTCGGTATAGTAAGGTACTGAAAATTCGTGCCACTAGATTCGTTCCTATAGGAAAAAAAAAAATGATCGATGGCGCGAAACCGAAAAAGTCTATGGAAGTTTTCCATGTATCGTTGGAATCTCAGTCTTCGCTCACGGTTTCTTTCTGTTCGAGTGAATTTTGCGACCGACGCTTCCCGTCGGTTCCAATCCCGAAGGGAAGCAGACGATGGTGATGAATTTTGTGCCGTTTCGTTTAAACCATGTCTAGCGTCGCGTACTCTGTTCGCAACGATTCGGATGCTCGACTATCGCGCGAATCGTTGCAGAGTACGTTCCCGCGACTTAGATGTAAGTAAGTAAAGTAGACGCGAAAAGAAAAGTTTGTAGAAGAGTACAAAAGAATTTTCTCGATTTTAAGTTAAATATCGAAATCGTGAGTGCTCGCGTTTCGCGTGTTCGCGATGGACATGTACCATTCGCGCGTAAACGTCTTTTTCTCTTCCACAGTCTGTAGTGCTGTGAATTATTAATATTAGGGTGGGCAAGGGTCGGGGGTGGGAGGGTGGAATGAAAAAGCATAAAGACGAATCGAACGATGTACCTAATTGTATGTTCGCGTAAGAGCAGGAGGAGGCCAGATTTTCAAGCACAGTTATTTATTCAACGAGTATCGATATCGATATCGTGTTTTATCCTATTTCTAATCTCTTGTTGCACTCTTATTTATTGACTCACGTGTTTTTCTTTTTTTTTATCGAGCACTATGGATGATAATTATAATGAACGAGTTGTGTCGTTAACGTTTTTTTATACGATAGTTGAACGTTTTATTAGAATGACGCTTTTACGATCTAGTAAGAGAGACCACACATTCCACTCCGTACGTGGTGCAAACTAAGCATTAAGTTTTTACCTAAGGTATTTTAAGCATAAAATGCTCGCTTATTTTTATAACTATTTATTTTCAGAGTAATTATAAGTACGTATTTGTAGAAACCTATACTTTTGCTACTTTACAAGTAGAACAGGTCGAACGTAGACGGTCCACCGATACGCGAACGCGTAATATTTCGCATGTCCTTTATCGTGTCGCGGTACAAATCGAGCTCCCTGAAAGAAAGTTCGTCGAATTCGGAGAGCGAACAATCTAATGCTACGAAGAGTAACTCGGATCGTTCAAGTCGAAGGTTCGTTCAATCGGTTTCCGGCGAATAACCGTGTCTCGAGCCTATTTCTAGGCTCGAAGCGTTAATTAAAGAAGCGCGTAGTTTCCATTATTTCGCTCGGTTCTGGTACGTACCGTTACGTAGAAAATTCCTCGAGGTTTCTCGCTACGATCTAACGTACAAAATAGTTTCTCGTTTTCGGAATAACGCGCAGCGTAATGGAGTGTATCGGGGACTGTCCGCTAATCGTTTTTCGTTTGCAAGCTATACGCGTTCGTTTCTCTCTCTTTTCTCTTTCTTTTATTTTTCAATTAGGTTGCCGATTTAATCGCCTCACCTTACTTTACACGTTTATTTCTCTTTGTCCGGTGTCAGTATTTTACCAACTTGGCGGAGCCTGTCGTAGCAGACGCGTTTCACGCGACAATCTCTTTTTCATCGGGCGGAGCGTTTCGCGACGATTTTATTTGACTTTGAAACGGTTACTGGTTTTACGAACCAGTTTTACGAACACGATTCCAATCATGTACGTAACAATTGCATCGATGTCGATGCCAGATCAAATCATTCGACGATGTTTAGACGGGTTGTTGTAGAAGAATGTTGTTAACAGGAATGAATATAAATGGTCCGAGCTGATCGACGATCACTTAAATAATGAAGGGCGCTATCTTACTGTGATGCTGAATATATGATACATATATATATATTATATATATAATTATATAATTAATAATCGTAGTAAATAATGGCTTGGCGCGTCAATGTGATTTCTCTCGGTGAAGAGACGAAATCTTTTGTTCGCCGTGCTGAATTGTAATTAATTGAACGAGTACAGAAATAAGAAAAACGAACAAAAAAAGAAGAAAAGAAAACATAAAATATCGAGAGAGAGAGAGGGAGAGAAAGAGAGAGAGAGAAAGAAAAGATAAAGTAATTAGTCCGTCAGTCCGTGTCGTTCGCATATCATGAACTGATTCGATCTAGGAAAAAGATTTTCGCGAAAATGCCGAGCTTTCGTCGACTCGTGGTACTTTTCTTTCTTGGATATGCGTGGCACGTTACGGCATTATATCGCGATCGAGCATTGTATCGTCGTCGCGTTTCCCTTCGCGTTCATCGAAAGTTACGAGACAAATCGCAAACGGAGGAGGGTAACGTGCGCGTTTACGAGTATACGTAGCCCTCGCACGATCGTCTACCCGTACGAGAGGCTGACATTTTATCAATCGCTATTCGAATCTATATTTTCCAAACAGGAAACACGGTTTTCTGCTTCTTCTTTTTTCCGTCCGACCACCTTCTCGAGCCACGATAGAATTCCATTTACCCTACCGAAATTTTACAGAAAATTATCGCGAAACGTCGTTAGAGGGACAAATCGGTTCGTTGTTCCTAATATCCGGAGTGTCCCCGTTGCTCGAACCGCCTCGTTCGAAATAAACGGAGATCTATCGTGCGTCGAGATCGTCGTCGAATCGGTCACGTCCGATTTTGTACGTTCTCGTTGAATTTTGTGAAATATTTGTCGTTAAAGAGAAAAAGGGAGAAAAATGATAACTCTTATCGTGATCTTTGTTTTTTTCTTTTTTACATGCCGTATTCAGTATTTTTTCGTTTTCCCCTTTCGTTTCCCTTGACAGCGATGAAGGAGCGTTTTTAAAAGACTACAGGGATTATTATGCGTAAAATAATAGGAATAGTAGGAAAAGAAAATGGTGCAACAGAACAGTATTTTTGTATTAGCTACGGCGCAGAGGTGTGTACTACTCTCCGATATATTATTATTCGTAATATTCGAGCGTTCATAGGGATCAAAGTTTGCGCGATATCCGTTTCGATCTGATCGCGTACTCGGAATCAATTTTCGTGGCAGAAGCGTGCTCGGCATCGAGATCATTTCTCGATCTCCGAGTGGTGAACGCGATCACGAATTTCGGAAAGTTGCGCAGCGAATAGAAGAACGGGAAAGAATGGAATGGATTGGTAAAGTGATCGAGCACGAAAGAGGCGAAAGGTCAAAATGTGTGCCGGCGATCAACCCACGCGAAGCGTATAACGATGTTTTTCATCGGTCTTCTCGTCCTCGTTCGACTCGTTTGCCGGTTAAACGCACGGTTGATTTTCGATTCCCGTTTGGAGAAATCGATCGAACATCTTGTACACTGTTACGCTTGTAGACACACGCAGCATCAACCTCCGCTGTCCCTGTCCGTTTTGTCCCACGCGTCTCGAAACTTTTGTGCCTCGTCTCGTTAACGAATCGTCGAACGATATCGTTTTTCTTCTCCTCGTTGCAATTAACCGCTTGCTTCTTTCTCGTTTCAACGACGCGTTCTCGAACGGTTCAACAGAGATTCTACGATAGCTGCACGACGAGTTCGCTTTCGAACGAGGAGGAGAGAGGGCAACGTCGGTTCTCTTCTCTTCGTTACGACTCTTCCGAACATCGCACGTTTTCGCGAGAAAGCAGAAATTTCGACTCGTCGTGGCTACTCGAAGAAAAATTCCGTTACCGCCAAACTTTTCAGCCGCTTCTCCGCGAAGAGGAGAGAAACGTAAGCTTTGTTCGCGTACACCGGTAAAGCGATACCTTCGCCTTTCGTGCCATAACGTCGAGGACGCCTCGTCGCTCTACTATTCCGCCGCGTCCTATCGCTGGTTTTCCTCGCGGTACCCACCGCAAACACTCGTGCGAATTTTCCGCGGATTCCGCGTCGAAAACGAGAAACTCCGCGCGTAACTTCCAGTGCTCGGTGCTCGCGCTTCTCCCCGGCGTACTCGTGCGAGGGGAAGTTCTCGTTTAAACGTTCAAGTAGCGTGATACGCGAAATTCCTAGTTAAGGTTGTAAGGATTAAATTAGCTCGTTAAAAAAATGATAAAATGAAAAAAAAGAGAAGCATTGGTCGATACGAAAGATCCGAGCAGTTTCTCGTCGTCGACGATGCGCAAGAGAATCTTTCCGAAAATGATCTACTCGCACACAGGGCATACATGTATTTCGTTAGACGCGCAACGAGAGGACGCTAATAGAATAAAAACCAAGTTGAAACGTACGAACGCGTTGAGCTGATTACATTTGCCACGCATACCTTCTCGATGTACTTAAGATGCGAACAAAACTGGTGAAAATAATAATCGAACGAATATTTCGATCCCGGTGATACTACGTCGCGGACAACGAGCAAAATAATTGCGTCACGCGTCCGTTCCTCCGTTGGCCTCTTTATGGACGCGTCATTTTTTCGGTTTCAAATCCGCAAAGTTCAAGATAAATTCTGCGATTGATTTTTAGCGGAAGAAGAAATACGAAACACGTTTCGTGAAATTCGTGACAGGTTTAGATCTTAAAAATTTTAACTTCCTTTTGCCTTCGTTCCGGTTAGTTTCGCGCTCAAATCTCAACCGTTCAGGATCGGTGCCTTTAATTTATATTTATTTAGACGGAGTCTATGGTACGAAGCGCGTTAAACGGAATATCGACGTATTTCGATTCGAGGCAATATTTTGCTCGTATTTATTGATTATTAACCTTCGGACGAATTAACAGAGGTAGTCGGATCTTTGACGGTAGACTCGAATAATAATTTATAACACGAAACATTATGAAAGTTAAAATATCCACGATGACCTGTCCCAGTTCGAGGGTTAAGCAAAGTACGCGTGCACGCAGTATCACCGGATCGTAGAAACTTCGTAAACGGGACGAAGGATTCACGACGTTGGCCACGGATCACATCGAACCGGGTTACGATTCGTCGCTTCGTCGTGCGATGATTGTTGCACCTTTACGTGGTGGTAGAGTATTACGTGAGAGCGATCTTAAGTTTTCTCCGTTGACACGGGTATTCCGATTATGCGTATATACATATGCATATACATATATATATATATATACACACTTATAGATATATATATACATGAAGACAAAAATCTGTTACATTACTATTTAAAGAGCAAATTATCGTAAAAGAATTTTACCGTAGATTACATGGTCAAATACTCTGGTATTGCTCACCTCGACGATCTGACATGATACGCGAATGTGGGTTTCCGTTGGTCTCGATCAGGAAAGAGCGTAATCGCAGCTAAACGCTATTGTTAATCGATGCAGAATAGTGAGTTTTCAGGCGTCACGAGAATGTCTTGTTTTTTTCTGTGGATTATAATAAACTATTTTATTCTAATCGATGGCACGATATCATTTCGACGATACCTACCCAACGAGTCCATTGAAATCGCTTTTTTGGTTTATCGGCTCGAATAAAATGTAAACGTTTCGTTTCAGATGTGCATGTTTTTTTTTGTTTCCATTTATTGTCGTCTCTTATCGACGTACAGTGTTCGATGGACAACGCGCGGATATCTTACAAGAGGAAATCGATCGTTTATTGTAACGGACGAACGAAAGCCTCGAGGAGTTAATATCCTTCGCGTTTCGTTCAGCGATACCCTGATGAATTATACAAAAAAACGTAATAAATTACGGACGAAGTAAAGTGATCCTTAAACAACTAGCAATATTTGGTCGTTTCAAAGTGAGACGTAGTCGCGTCGTTAACGAAACAATGTTTCCTCGAATGAACAATTTACTCGGTTACTATCATCTACGTATATTCTTTTTCTCGAACTTACACACGAATCGCCGTCAACTTGTGCACGGAACGTGTCACGATGGTAACTTACGCGATATCGTTACAACTTCTATCTAATACAAAGCGTCTATAATACAAAATATCGCGCAACGGAATCGTGCGCTCGATCTCTTTAAATTATCTTTGATTCGTGCATTAATCTCTCGAGGAAACGGGTAATTAATACTGCTCGTACGGAACGATCGAATAAGCGATCACGAACCGCATTTCGAATCGTTTACGATGTGCTCATTGGTGATCTATCGTTTGGAAATACCATTCGGTGAATTGTCGAATCTGTTGCGCGGCAGCGTGACTTTCGTCCTGTAGGCGACGATTCTCGTCTCGCAGACGGCGTACCTCGTCTTCCAGGGATAGCCTCCTACGAGTTTCTCTGGCTATTCTCAACTCCAGCGTGGACAGGTGAGACTGTAGATCCGAAACGGAATTTCTGAAACAAAGAAAAAATCGTTCAGAACGCGCCGCGGGTCTTCGGGTCGCAGTAACAGATAGACCGTCGATTGCTACGTAATCCTACCGAGAATAAGTGATCTTTCGAAAACGCGGTGTCGCGAACGCATTCGATGATTTTGCCAAACTACAACCGTTAGTTGGAAACTTACGCGATGGTATTGCAGCCATCGATTAGTCTGTCGTCGGACCAGTCTTGGGCATGCTGTTTCGATCTAGCGTCCACGTGATGATTTTGCCAACAGTCCACGTCCGTGTCACCGTGGTTTTTCGCGTCTTTGATAGACGTCAGGTTGGTCGATGCTTTGGAAATCGAATGAGGAGGTTTGGTAACGCGCGGCGATAATCTAAACAGAGCGCGTGGCAAACTGCAGTGCGTTGTACGATACTAAAAGTCGACGATCGATTCTATCTATCGTTCGTTACCTTTCTTCCTTGGATAATTTGTTCTCGCTCGGCGCGGGACTGGACGCGGTGCTCGCGTTGGAAATGACGGTGGCCGGCCTGGCCATCGTGAGTATCACTTCCGATCCACCGTTTCCGTTTTCTTGTCTGCTGGCCGGCAAAACGGTGAGCGCGTTACCGTTGCCGCCGCACAAATTTTCCCTCGATCTGCATCTGTTTTGAATCTCGAGCATATTGTTGTTGATCTTGTTGGGATTTTGAGTGATCATCATGTTGCCGGTCGCGTTGTTGTTCAATTGACCGTCGTCCGTGATGTAGTCGGGATTGATCAGCTTCATGAGATCCTCTTGAAGAGTGCTGGAGGTTAGATTCGCGGAATTCCTGTGAGAATTACGAACGCCCGGTTTCGGTCTGGGACTCTGATTCCTCGAGCTTCCGCTCGACGGAGTAAGATTTCCACCGCGATGTTTGCCCGCTCTTCTCAATCGAGGCGACACGCTTCCGGAACCGTTCGATAGTTCGTCCTCGCTCGGTAGCGTGGTCGCTTCATTCACGTCCGGAATTCTCACCTCTGGCGGCAAACTGGCGGTAAAATCTTTCGTCTGCCGATACTCGACGTTGATCTTGTGAGGCACCGGCCTCTCGGACATGGTCGTCTTTAAGCAAGTTACCTTTTCACCGACTTTGAACTCGTGCGGTAATTCGTACCGAACGGATTCGCGTGTTTGCTCACCGCTGTCGACGTTATGTTTCCTTTCGTTAATTCCGTGTTGACACTCCATCTCGTATTTCGCGATTTCCATCTCGTACTTGCTGTTTCTTCTCTCGTACACCTCTTCCGGATACTCGTAATTTGCTGTCCGCTTATCGTGCACTCGAACGTCTTGTTCGTACTTGTTAGCCGCTCTGCTGTCCATGATCTTTTCGTCCTGCACTTCGTATTTCGAGCTCCTGTCCGGCTTTCCTTCGTATTCGAACTTTGGTTGCTCGTACTCGTTGCATCTACCGAGGTTGTTGTTGCTATTAGACTTTGGAAGGCTGTAGGTCGCGTTTTGTGCCAACGGCAAGGAATTAGACGCGTTCAGTTTCTGATGACCAACATGATGCATATCGTTTTTGTGAAGCTCCCTCTGAGACGCGTACAAGTTTTCCTGCTTCGTCTCGTACTTCTCCTTTTGAAGCTTCACGTAGTTGGACGCGACGTGCTCTTGGTTTCGATGAGCGTTTTCCAGTTGCCTCTGATAATTCTCCTGTATCGCTTTCGAGGACACGTAATTACTCTCCTTCGCGTAATGATCGTGACCGTGATGTTTCGAATTGTCCGCGAATTGTTTGCTGGTCGCGTAGTGGGACTCCTTGTCCTTTTTCTGAGACGATTTGGGAGTGACCACTTGATAGGACTGTCTGGCCGGAAGAGGCGGTGGCGGAGTGCCGTCTGTTCGATGTCCGTTTTCTTGATCTTGCGGTTCCAACAGTTCGTACCTGAACAGAAAAGATCTTGTTCGTGACATTAAGACGAGAACAGAGTCCTCGTTCGAAACGTTTGCTTACCAGCGATCGTCGGTGCTGCTGTGTCCGCTGCTGCTGCTGGTCATCGTGCCCTCCATGGGAAAGCGTGGATCGTTGAACGACCTGGAACTAGATCCGGTTCCGTAGCCGGAACTGTTGCTCGATCTCGGTGGACTGAAAGATCGTTCGTATCTCCTTTGGTGGGACATGGCCGTTTGCTGAGTCGGAGTATTATCGGGACTGGTTACGTTCTCGTAGTCTCCCTCGTAGTTGTTCGATAAATACTGGCAGTTTTGCAGCGTACAGCCTCTGCGTAACGAATAAACGAACGAAAAAGGTAAAAGAGGAATTCGAAAAAGTAAAACGCGGTGTAAGGTAGGGTCGCGTTACCTCCTAGGATTACCGTCGTTATTGGGCGGTATGACGGTGACGGTGACTTGCGCGCTCGTTTTCAACAGATCAACCATCTGATCGTGACTCAAAGTCGATACGGCTACTTTGCAAATTTCGACCAGCCTAGAGCCTTGCCTTAATCCCGCTTGCCAGGAAAGTCCCATACTTTCGACCTGTGTCACCAATCCGTCCGGTTGCACGTGGAAACCTAATTGTCCCAAGCTGTTTCGCTTCAAAGAGAATTCCGTCGCAGGCGCGCCTTGAGTCACCGCTCTTAGCCGAGCAACTATTTCCATCAGTTCGTCTCTGTCTCCGTAATCGCCGCGCACGTGAATCGTGATGCATTCTCCTTGATGGTAGTAGAGTCTCAGACTGTAACAGAACGAATTAGGGCGTCGCGATTCGAGTTTCGAGAGAACGTAGGACGTTTAGGGAGCGGTGGAGCACCTGTTCGTTTGGGCGTGCCATCCCAGCACGCTCGCGCACGGAGTAACAAAAACGATCTGTCTGGAATGTTCCTCGATCAAAACGACCGTGTCTATGCTGATTCCAAGGTAACAGTCGGTGTTTTGATTGCTGTCCTCCAGTATCACTTGCCAGCATATCGCGCCGCGCTGCGAAGCGTCGCAAGACAATCTTGGACGTACGGCCGTCTTCTTTTTGCTGCTAAACGGCAGCATCGCTGTTCGAACAGACATCGTCGAGAAACATGGTCAACCTATTTGCGAGATAAACGTTCTAAGAGATCGACGGTGACTTACAAAACTTCTGCCCCGTATCCACGACCGTGGTGGACGAGTAATTCGTGGCGAGATCTTTCAAGTATTCTTGCCTGGTCCTGGTTGCCATCGTTGCAAATTTCTCTGATCTACAACGACAATAACGAAGACGAAAGAGAGCTTCGCTAGATATTCTCTTTGCGCATCGAACTTGGAGGAATAAAATTTGTTCGCACGGTACCTGTGAGCAGCGTTTTCGGCATTGATCACTTTGGCCAATATAAACTCGGCGAAAGCTTTGCCCTTGGCGAATATGGCACCCGGCGGAACAGGTGGTCCGAAAACGGGCACTTCTTTGCTCCTGGACACGGCCACGCTGTATCGAGTATTGTCGGAACAAGGATCAATCGCTCTGACCACGATGAACACGTGTTGAAATTGCGAACGTATCCGCCGCGGACTGAAGGGTAACGCGCCGGGCTCCTGCACATCGGACGCGAATAAATCTTTAGAAAATAGACGAAACGCGAAATCCGTCGTTTCACGCTGCGAATCGATCGGGCAAAGAACCGTAAATCGTGTCGCGTTTGCGTACCTGAAAAACTACCGTGACTATGTCGTTTCCGATGTGCCTTTTCCTGAGCAGCTGTTGTCGGTTGTTCGGTGTGAAGGGTAGCATCGTGGACACGTGAAACGTTACTTCCGCTCCTCGATGCGTCGCTGCGACCGCGTGAGTGCCCGTCGAGTCGGTTCTCGTGTCCAGACCAGCCTTGTAGCCCTCGAATCCTCGCAGTCTTATTCTTTGGCCTGTCGCGAAATACGTTCACGTCATCGGTCCTTCTTGCAATTCAAAACCGATCGTTCACGATTGTCTTACCGATAGCGTCGAGGAACTCGAGGAAAGCCGGACCGGCGTGTTGATTGTTGTACATCTCTTCCTCGGTTCTTTGGCCGGATCTGCAGTAGAGAACGCCGACCTTGTACCTATTGGATAGTCCCTGCTCGTCCAGTCTAGCCAGAGCCTCTTCGGCCGCGGACGTGCCCAACCTGAGACAGCCTAATTGCACCTCTGGCGCCACCAGTTCCAACAATTCTCTGGTCGGCAGTCTGCCCTGAGGCCTTATTCCTAGAGCTTCTTCCGGCACCGAACCGCGCAGAGTCAACAGTTCCGAAGTGCGAACTATTATCCTGTATTGATTCGCGTCTTTTCGAATACTGATGGCGACCGGACCTAATTGCTCGTCCATGCCGAACCAGTTTTGGTGTTCCCGGCCTGAAACATCGACGAAACGGATATAAAAACGGTCCGTCGCTTCGACCCTACGGGGTTCGCGGAGCGTCGTTTACCAAGAAAGTATCTCCTGTAATAGTGCGCGCCTTCGTCGACGCTCTCGATCGGAAGCGGTCGTTTCTGGAGCGGACAAGCGTACTTCCAGGTGGTCTCTCCCGGTGCAGGCTCCAAAACCGCGACGCCGTACGCCAGGAACGGTCTGTGAACTCCGTTGCCTTGGGAGCACCGAGTCAGACCCACTTCCCGTTCCCCTTCGCCTCCGGTTTCGTTTCGGAAGAAAGGACACGACTCTAACAGGTCGTTACCTAAGAAGAACGGGCTCGAATCGGTGATCGACGGGCCAAAACGAACGAGTCAGCGACTACGAGGCAGTGATACCTTTTCCGTCGCCGACGTCTTCCTCGGGCGTCTCGTCGGGGGTGGAAGCTCTGAACGAGCTCGCGGCGGACGCTCCGGTCGCGGTGTTTCTTCTCCTGGCCAACAGAATGCCCCTCAGTTTGGCCGCGTAGCCGAGATTCGCCGTGAGAGATTGGCAGTCGTAGTGAGCGAACGCTCGTCTTCTGTGCCTCTCCTCGACGTCGGCCGACAGCACGGGGCTGCCGCAGCTCTCCTCCATGGCCCGTGGCGGTTTCGCGCCCCACAGTCTGTTCAGTTTCAGTCGCAGCTTGGGACTGGAGCCTCCGGTTGGTCCGCAAACCTCGTCCGCGTCGACCGTCTGCCCGTCCGGGACGCGCCTCAAGTAATCCACGCCGACCGAATTTCGCTGATCCGACGACGGCCTCAGGTCCTGAAGCATCGCGAACAAGTTCTCGCCGACCGTTACCGATTGAGCAGCCACCACGTCGATGCTTCCTATGACCGAAAGCAAACGCTCCGTTTCCCTGTTTCTTTTTCTTTAAAGCACCCTCGTCTTCGATGGCCCAGGCGATACCTACCGTGAGATCCATACTCCCTTCTCAGGGGAGTCTCTGGCACTCGAGAACCGGGGTCCGGGCTGTGAGGAAGCTCCAGGCTGGAATTGGACCTGTGAAGGGCCAATCCACGACCCACGCGGTTGCTTGGCCCTCCACTGCCGCCGCCGCCGCCTCCACCGTGTATCGGTAGGCTCGCGATCATCTCTTCATTCTGTCAACGAGATACGAGACATCGGGTTATTTCCAGCTACCGACGAGCCACGAATAGATCGCTCGTCCGCGTTGCTGCTCGAGCAACGATAAACGGAAGCGTGCAAAGTGGAACGGCTAATTAGAATTGACCCCTTCGTTTGAACCGCGTTTCGAGAGTTTCGTGCGGGCGTTCGACTCGACGTCGAAAATCCGTCGAAATATTTCAGCTTACGTGTTCCAACCGCTCGCTTTTTCGGTCGAGAAAGAGGGAATCAAGGATGAAAGAGGATACCGAGAACGTTAATTAACTCGGTCCGCGATCCGGTGTACGAAGCACGAAGCGTTTATCGTTGGCTGAAACGCGATACGCGCGCGCGTATTCTCGAGCGTACGAAGAAAACGGGACGAGCGGTATGCACCTGCTGCCGACTGACCGGCCCGATTTAACCCGTTAACGGGTGAACGCGAGTCGACTCGAAGGCGCTTCCTCGCAGAACGAGACGAATCGACCTGTCGCTGAAATCGCGCGAATTCGATTTGGTAAGGGGAAAAGACGACGAGCCGCGCGACCGTATACGAGAATAGCGGAAGCCGCTGCAAACAGTGAATCGGGTCTTTACGGTCTCGTACCGTTGCTCGGCTCGCCAAATGCGTTCGGTGAATGGGCGATTTTCCATTGTCGAGCTGGAACCGGTATCCTCGTGCGCGTACGCCGCCGCGACCATCGTTTCGAGCCAAGATTAATCGAGGGCGCGCATTCGTCTCTCATCGCACCGACGAGTCGCTGAAAATTTCTGTGTTCCAGTCTTTTTCAACCAGACGAAGGAAACAGGGTCGCGAGCCAGAAAATCTTTAGCTTCGTGTCACGGTCTAGGTCTAGGATCGAAGAGGACCGATCGAGAAACGCGTTCGGCACGAGCTAACAAGCTTCCCTCCTCCTCTCGTCGTTGCATTCCGCGCGTTCCACGTCGCTTTGCCGCGGCTTCCTCGACCGCGACGCGTTCTCGATTCGATCATCGAAGCCACCGTGCGACGCTGCAACCAGCCTCTAATGCGTCAAACGAGATCGTAGCCTTTGGAAGGTTCGGCCTGTCGACGAACAAGGTTGCGAGAGTAAAGCGTTTTCTCTAATCCCGACCCTCGCGTTTTGCCTGCTTCGTCGCGCCCCACCTACGCTCGATGTTCTTTTGCACCGCTTCGTTCCAGCAAGATTACACCGTGCGAAAGTTCTCAGAACGGTCTCTGGTCGGTTCGTACCGTCGGTCGCGTGCTTCTTCGACGAGCGTTCGACTCTCTCCGCGACGCGGTTTCGATTTCGAGGTCGACGTTAACGATACGACGAAGGCGTCGACGAGCGGTTTCGATCGACGCCGCGGGACGAGGAGGAGGAGATCGCGTTGACTCACCGCTCGCGATTTTTCAAGGACTGCGCGCCGATGACGCGTCCACCTACGAATGGAAAAGCGAGGATCGTCTTTCGAAAATGTTTTTCTCGCGAGAATCGCGCAACGATCGCGGAAATCGCGCGTTCTTTGTTGCGTCGCGCGAATAGAGTCTACACAGAGGATAGAGACGAGTAGGAGAGACGAAACGGGTCTGAAATCCGGTCAGCCGTCAGCGGAAGTTAACCGTGCCTTCACGCGAACACCGGTCTTCTTCTTGCCTTTCCTATCGCCAATCGCGAATCGGTCTTTCACCGGTTATTTCGCGACAGATTCCTGCGAGATGTCAAACCTGGCTCTTCGAACCGAATCTGGAACACCGTAAATGCACGAACATTGGGCCTCCGCAATTATTTTCAAACTAGTCGTACGAGATTCTAAAAGTTTATATGTTTTGCGTCGATTTATGAGTAACGAAATTTCTTAAGGAGTAACGAATAAGGAGAAGCCGCGAGAATACGAAGAGGCGCATCGAAGAAGCACAGGTTCTTCGGTGTCCGGTGTATCGGATTCACCGATCCTCGTCCTCGGTGATCAGCGAGCGTTTCGTCAGAGTCGCGGCTAAACTCGTAGGTACTGAACTTGTACGACGACTTTTCCGTGCGTACACCTTGTGGGAACGTTCGAGGTGCGTGCAACCGCAGAAGCATCGTTCTTTGCCGGTGGATCAGCGAATCCGTCTCGAAAGTAAAACGTAGCAACGATTTATCGATCGAGGTCCGTCGAATTCGAGTCAAGCGAGATCGAACTTAACGAGAATTAATAGCGTTTCATGCGAATTGACCGATAATCACCGAGAACCGAGCAGGAAACTGGAATCGATACCGGTTATTATTATTGAGAAAATTAACGACGATATACGAAAACGCGGCCAAGTTTTTTTTGCGTAAATTATTGGGTACTGGAAAATGTTTGCCTAGATGCGTAACACGATATTGGCACAATTTATACTGCGCACCTTCTAATAGTCTACAATGCTTGAGCTTTACTCGAGTATGACTTAATGCATTGTTTTATTTCTCTTTAATAAGGTAGGGAAGCAGTGTGCGATTGTTCGTTAGCTAACAGTGCACTCTTTCTCGTTAACGAATTTAGAAGGGACTACTTTCGTTACCGCGAACATTCGATTCTGCCACGCGGAAGAAAATTAGCAACTCGTAGAAGCTTGTTTGCGTAAAAAAGGTTCGTATCTAATATATCGGGGAATAACGCGGCGATCGCGAAGCGAAACGATACCGCGATCTAACGTATTACGCTTTTTCGCTTATCGTTCTCTCCAGATAAGGTCGAGAGAATCGTATCGCATTGTATGTGGCGACGGGCAATAACGATAGCGAGCGATGGCGAGAGATACCGAAAGATCGTTATGAACGGAAACGATCGATCGTTCGCGATACGGATCGGTCGAAATTTTTGAACGCTCGCGAGTAATCGAACGATGGAATCGACATCCGTTCGCATATCGCGCGAAACGAGGCGTCGATCATCCGAACTAGTTATGTAAATTCCTCTGCATTCTTTGCGCGATCTACGAGCGTATCGCGATGTCGTTGCGTGTCCGACAAAGAACGCGCGCTCAGCGCCGATTCTTTCCTCGCCTTTTTTTCTTTTCCTTCGTTTGACGCCGCGTCGACGTTTTCCGAACAATTTCCTCCGACACATGTCCTGTGCGAAAATTATAAAATAAAAGACAGACGAGCGTCACCGCAATCACGAAAATTCTCTGCTCCGATTATTTCACGGTCGTTGGAGGTAGTTTCGAGTTATCTCGCTTAAACGCGTTAAAATGAACCGAAAGTGGGAGGGGGCGAAAAAAGGCAAGTGGGGGAGGGGGCAGAAAAAGAAAATATCAGGAGCTGGGAAAGGTAGGAAATGAGAAATTAAGAATACCCTTGAGTCTTGTATGGTAATATCGTTCTAATGAAGTACCAAGAATGGGGCCTCGGTGGGTGAGAGGGTAGGGTGTCGGATCGACGATCCGCGGGACGCAGGATCGAATCCTCATGCGGGCGAAAAAATCTTTTCCGAAATTGTAATTGGTTTCTCCTCTGACTTTGGCTTGTGGGAAATAGTTGTAAACTTCTTGAGCTACGGGAAATGGGGCAGAGAGGAGAAAGAAAGAAATTCGGGGAGGGGGGGAGAAAGAGAGGAGGACACCCCCAGGAGCTAGGAAAAGGTCGCGCGAGTTTAAACCTCGAACGAGGTTAAAACCGAAAAAGGAACTATCGAGTAAGGTCGTTGAAGCGAATACGTATTCGCGACGATTTCGAATCCAACGATTTGTACGACAACCTAATAGCCTCTGCTGAACCGCGTTTCTTTTCAACGAGGCTACGCACAGGATTTCTCCGACCTCTTTGTCGACTCGTACGCGTCGATGTTTATTCGCGTGCGATGCGAACCGCGAGGAAACTCTCGGTAATATTTAACCGCGTTTTACGATAACGCAACAACAAAGAGTTTCTTCTGCTCTGGGAACGATCGACGATTGTTCCTTTTTTTCTTACGCCATTAAGCGAATTTTCCGACACGACGCAGAAGGGAATCGCGCATTTTTCACGAATCCCTCGAGCGTGAACGCGCACAGCCGTATAAAGCGTAGCGGGCCAGATAGAATATTATTTCGCCCCTTTCTGGGCTCGTAAACGAGGTTGCCGCTAGAGATCGTAATAACATCGCGCACTATTACCGTGGTAAAATACCAGTTTTTCTACCGGTTTCCGCCCGTTGATCGTGGCCACGATGCAACCGCGAGCCGCCTTCTATGCAACGAGGGAGCAATTATTTTTTCTAATTGCGCGTATTCATTGACCGAAAGAAAGTTGCGTCTCCTCGAAATACGCGCGGATCGAGAAGCCGGTGCGTGTGCACCCAGAATTTAGCCGATGACTCCACGTTGCCTCGCCGATAACGGAAAGAGTAGCTTATCGTTGGCAATCGGTTACCGCGCAACGCGTTTTATCAATTAAAACCAACGTGAATGATTTTTATCGGAAACGAAAAGATTACCCGCTTGTATTATCGTACATAGTCATTTGCGAAAACGAGAATTTTTGCGACGATAAGTCGTGGACGCCGCAGATCCTCCGGAGCGATCGATTCGAGATACAAAAGTGTCTCGATAGAGCGTCAAACTTCGTGTCGCGAGATGGAAAAGCGAAAGATAAAGACAAAAGAGGAGAGACGAGAAGGGAAATGGGTAGAGAAAAAGCGATCCGGGACAATGAACTCGCGACCGGTTTCCGCGCGACTTTGTTGCTTTTCTCCCGCGATGGACAAGTTTAACGCTGTAACGTGTACGACGCGAAAACCGTGACTCCGTTGCCTAACGTTTCGAATGTCACGGTAAATTCGGTCACGATAATCTGTCGTTTCCTACGAGCTGTTCTTCTCCGTTCCGTTGAAAGGGAAGAAAGTTGCGAGAGGTCGACGTCGAGAAGGGCCCAACGGATTCGCGGCGAGACCTCCAAGCGAGCTTACGCTTTTTTGTCGTTCTCTGTAGGAGAAGCTGGCTTACTCGCTCGCTCTTTGCGTTAATCGAGAGGATCGACGAGAGGCGGCTACCGTGTTCG